GTTTTTTCCTATTTTGGGGGGGGAGGGGGGTTGGCCGCCCCCTGGGCTGCTTGGCGGAAGGAAGGAAGGTCCGTTACCCTGCGGCGTGGGCCCGGCCCCCGGGCTGGTGGAGCGGATTTGGGCTCCGAGGGGTTCGGGGCAGTGGGCTTCGGGTGGGACGCACACACAGACACGCTGACTCTCCCCTTGGGTTACCTGGTTTGGTTTTTAGGACACCCCCTGTTGTGCCCTGCCAGCCAGATGGGAGCCTGGGCCTCAGGCTGTCACCTGCCAAAAATCTTCTCAAAGCTGCCTGTTACCTGTGTACCTTTGCTCTAGACAAAAGGCGAAATGAACAGCAACTACTAACCTTTGATCTGCAAATAAAACCTGATTATGGTGCAGAGCTCATGGATGTAAAGTAAAGCTAATCCACGGTGCACCTGAAGAGCAAAGCCACCTCCTCCAAGCACTGCTGGAGGGCATGCTCAGGTTACATGCTCCCAACTTAAACGCTTGTCCCAGCCCAAGCTAAGCCACTATAAAGCTTTTTCAAGCATTTTTTCAGGAAGAAATGCTGAAGCAAAGCAGTTGCGGTTTACTTTTTAGATGAGGTTGCTGTCCAGAGAAATCCAAACTATAGAAGTTACTGAAATGCTTTAGGAGAGGGGTTCTTGGTTGTTATGGGGCACTGTTCAGAGCTGAAATTGCCTTCATAAAGTGGCAAAGAATATAACTTGAAATGACCTCACAACTGGAAGCGTTATGGCAGTGTAGAAGTTTGTGCTGCTTTGCCTTGTGGCACTATGCTACTTCTGACCACCAATCTGACTCTTGTTTCCATCCTGTCATTAAGATAGACCCCAGGAACCTTAGATATGTGATATCTTAGATATGTATTGATATGTCAATTAGATATGTTGAATAAGTACCTCTTGCCATCACTCATTGAGTGGAGGTGGCCCTACTGTTAGTAACATTCTTGGCAGAAATTAGCTGTTTAAGGCTATATTCTGTGCATACCCACACCCCTCCATCCCTGGAGTTCAATAGCAAGAGTTCAATAGCAATAAGATCGCCAGAACTTAATATTTGCAGTGGTAGAATGCGAACTTCTAGGTTGCATTTAAGGTTCACCATTATTGCAACGTACGTAGAAGCATGCATGTAAAATCTGTGGGCAGGTATTGAGCTAGTGACAGTGAGTGACCTTGGACATCTTATGTGGTGGCAGGGGAACAGCCTGACTTGACTTTCTGTGTGTTCTGAACTTCTAGGGCTTTGTTCAAATTGGTGGGTACTCCTTCAAAGGGCAATGGACCATGCCAGAGCAGCAATCTCTAACTGGGTAAGACACAGTCCCCCTATGCCGTTTGTATTTTGTTACTGGGCTGGCTATACTGCAGAAGAAAGGTTCAACAACATCTGTGTCTGTATGGAAGAAGATGATGAATTCAAAGTGGTGTTAGGTGCTACTGTGTGGGATGTGACACAAATGTCACTGTAGGTAGCTGGCCACGATAAGGGGGTGGCTTAAGTGGTTCAGTGCTGTTGGCATTATCGTTAACTGCTATGCTGTTGTGAGCCTCTCAGGAAGCTGATAAGGGGGGTGGGGCAAGCCTTGAACAATGTTCCAGGAGGAAGTACTGCTGAGGAAGCTGATTAAATGGCTATCAGGACAATCAACGTGTATTTTGTTATGTTACTTTGGGGCTAGGCATTCAACTACAAGTCCAGCCTGTCCCAAAACTCTTCCTCTGGCCTTTTAGCCGGTTTCATGCCTGTCCCCAGCACAACTGTGGCCTCAGGCAGGTTCAGCAACTCTAATGGAAGCTGAGTGATTCTGCTTAGTGGCTGGCTACGCTTGGAATTAAGTTTAAGTGTTAATTGAGCGATTGCCTTGTGCACAGACTGCTGCTCTGTGGGCGGCTGGACTGTGCAGTGCAGCTCTTTAGAGAAGTGGGCTGCAGACTGGAAACTGCTCTGCTTGGGCACTGGTAAACACCTGTTGAGTGATTGCAGTCTCTGGTGGATGTGGGAGGTGTGCCCCAGAGTCCTGGGTGTTGGAAAGAACCTCTAGAGATCATCTAATCCAATCCCCACAACTAAAGCGGGATTGCACAGGATTGCATCCAGGTGGGTTTTGAAAGTCTCCAGAGTAGAAGACTCCACAACCTCCCTGGGCAGCCTGTGCCAGTGCTTTGTCACCCTCACGGTATTCTCAGCCTTTGTGTTAGTTGAGGCAGCAGGATTCCCATGGGCCATCTCTTCAGCCTAGCTGCTTGGTAGTACTCAACAGTCTAATTTAAGAGTAGCCTGTAGCAGTTTAATACATGATTATCTAGATACTGGATGAGAGTATTTATGTTAAAGTGGATGTGGCCCAAAGGCACAGCCACAGCGGAGGAGTTGCTTACCCTTTTCTCTGTCCTGACCAGAGTTCCCCTTCTGCTCAAGTTGCATGCGTTCAGAGCAGCGCTCTCCTAATTAAGAGTGGGAGTTTCTGCTTCAGTCAGTCTTTGCAAGTTGGGGTCACATGGGAAATGCCAGTGCCATTGCCTGAGTCGTATCTGTAATGGACTCCAAGCTAGACTCTAACCAGTGTGGCTCTGAACTTGTGCAGGGTGAACAGATGCTAAATAGACTCTGGAACTTGAGTGGATCCGAGTCTGACTTTCTGGTCAAAGCAACCAGACAGACAGCCAAACACTTGGGCTGCAGCTGTTTCAGGTGAACAAACTGCCTTTGGTGTGGAGCATGGGTGCAGCTGGCCGCAAGGACCGTAGGCCAGTGTAGTAAACTCTTCCATTGTGTGACTGTCTTTCAACACAGTTTAACGGCGAGCCATCCTCGTACACACGCTTCAGCATTGCCCGGCAAACAGATGGAGACAACAGCCATGTGGAGATGAATCTGGCTGCTGATGATGAGGAAGGAGGGGAAACTGGGAGACCAGAGCAACCACATGCTAGCATACCTCCTCCATGGAGGAGGGGCAAGAACTTCTGCTTCCTAGTCATCGTGGCAGCCCTCCTCCTTTTGATTGGTAAGGAAGGGTGGGAAGCACTTGTGTGAGGTGGACTCTGGTATTGAGCATGTCTGAGGCTGTTAACATTTGCATCTGTATTGTTTCAGGAGATCGCTAAAGAGTCTGGATGCAGACTGCAGCCTCTTATCACTAGCTCTGTTTAGCTCAGACTTATGGTACAGAATTGGCACAAAGAAACATGGAGTTTGACAGGGGAACAGTGACTTAGCTAAAGGGCAAACTGGTCCATGTGGCAAGTGTACTGTTTTTCCCTTGATTAACTCAGTGCTTCTTTAGGGAGGTGGGTCAGCATATCGGTAAATCCCGTGGTGCTAGTCTCACAAGGGTTTTGAGACTGACACTGACCTAAAGTAAGCATTCTCCTTCCCAAGTGGTGCTGGAGGGGCTCTGCCAAGCGCAAGATCACGTTTACAGCATACTTTAAAACATGCCAGCTCAGGCAAAATGTCAGGCTGCATATTCCTGTCTACCCTTAGGTATGCCAGCTTCTCAAAAATGGTGTGAGAGCAGAGATGCACCTTAACCCTGGAGCTGCTTTGAATGCACTACTTTGAATGGGCTGGTTTAGTCACCTTTCTGGAGCACTAAGAAATACTACTCCTGTCTGCAGGGTTTCTGATCGGCTATTTGAGTTATCGTGGACGGATGCAGAAGGCTAGCAGGTGTCTGGATGGAAGTGGCAGGTGTGAGATGACTCCTACTGCATCTTACTTAGCGGATGGTGATGACACTGAGGAAGAAGAGGTTTCTGGACCACCTATCTTCTACTGGCCTGATCTCAGAGACCTGTTGTCATCAAAAGTGTCAGCCAAACGTCTTGAGGACAGCCTGAGGTAACAGTTCCAGAAAGCTTAGCTTGCAGCTATGAGAGAGGCATAGCCTGTGAGCAGAACTCAAGCTCTTCTGGAGAACAAGGGCATAAAAGATGTTGTGGGGTGGCTTGTGGTTAAGCATGCACTTTAATTGCTCCTCCAGCTTGGGTGTCCGGGCTGGAGCACTGCAGTGCAACCTGGTGCTGTTGCCTAAGCTATGCGTGTGTTGCCTACAGGCAGAGAGCAAATATGGACTCTGTTGAAGCTGGCAGTACTGAAGATGAGAACCTTGCCAGCTATATTCATGAGCAGTTCACCAGCCTCCTCTTGGATGAAGTGTGGAATGATGAGCACTACATTAAGCTGCAGGTCAAGGGCAGGTATGTAAATGGTGAGATGCAGGTCTCTTCCTCGCAGTATTGGGTATCTGTAGTCTTGAGCTAACGTGATTTCTGCTGAAAGTGGTGCTAAAATTCTGCACCAGTTATCCTGCTCCAAAGAAAGCCTCAACCTAGCCAAGTAATAGCTGCTTCTGTTCTTCTCAGGCTTTCTAAATCCAGAGGGTCTGGTAGAAGCCCCTCTGGATTTTTCCTGGGACAACTGTTTCCTCAGAGTGGGCTTAGGAAGCAGAGAGAAAACAAACTTGAGTAAAAACTGAGCTGAACGGCAGATTCCCTGTTTCTAAAGCTGCTGGCACAGGTGACTTATCAAGTGTTGCAAACCAGGCAGTGGCTCCTATAGTAGGTCTGGAAGTATCAACAGACATTGTGTTTGCTGACACTCACACCCTTGTGTCTTGCCCCTTCATGTCGAGGGGAAATTAATTAGCTTACCTTCTCTTAGGAAGGAACTAATACCTGGAAACATAGAATTTTTTTTTTATTATTATTGTTTGCCTCTTTTCTTGGAAATTAGCCTTCGTTAATGTCTCTGAAGAACCCCAGAGATACTTGCACAAGAGTACTGGGGTGGGTCTGCCTGTTTCAGACAGACACAGTGAGAATTGTGAAGGCACAGACTGGAAAATGGGAGCTAGTTAAGTATGGAGTCATGTATGAGAGAACATAACACTATCTCTTTACACTTAACAGTAGTGACAACAAAGTGTCTATTTGGGAAAATGAAAGAGAAGAGGAGCTGGAGAGTCCCGTGGCATATGTGGCATACAGCAAGAGTGACTCAGTTGCTGTAAGTGACCCAAAGATACAGAGTGTATAGAGCCCTCCCCAGTTAGAGAGCTGGGGTTGGTGGTGGGGAGAGTGGGGTGAGGAGTGGGCCCACATAGTTTTATTACTTCAGCAAGATGCAGAAGTAACTGTTTAAACTTTTCCACGGAACCTTGACAGAAGTGCTGCTTCAGCAGGCACACTGCATGTGATCAGAATTTACATTGATGAGCTTGATGTTCCTACTGTTACTGGGAGTCACCGTTACTGTGACTCTGCAGGCTGTTTGAAGTATCTTACTGACATAGTACTGCCGTATTTACAGCTAGTGTCTGTTCCAGGGCAAACCGGTCTACGTGAACTATGGGCTGAAAGATGATTTTCAGTTTATACGGAACTGGGGTGGTTCGCTGAATGGAGCTATAGTCATCTTCAAAGCTGGAAAAATAACTCTTGCCGAGAAGGTAAGCGATCTGCTCCAAAACCTGGCCAAACTTGCTAGCAGGAGCTGTGCTTCCTCCTCTTTGAGACACAGAGGTATGTCCTTGTTCACACTTCTAGAATTCGTGTATGTAGGCTTGTCCCCGCAGGTCTGGTCTTGTTTGCCTTGTTTGCCCTAAGCCTCCACGTGCAGGTATGGACGCCGAGACCAAACAGAGATGGTTAGTGTTTGTGGTGGCATTTTTGTTTTTTACCACTGGCAGTCTTTCTGAGCCAGCGAAACATCTGGAAATGATGGAATTGGGAGGCAGAGGGAGGCAGCATGGGGGCTATAGAGGGCAGAGCTGGTATTGCTTGATGCAGCAGTAGGGCAGCTAGAAGCAGAACAGCCTTGCCTCCAGAGCACCTCTTGCTGCTAGAAGCCAGATACTTTCAAAGCTCAGCTGCAGCGTCTCACTGGGGCCCTTGCTAACTGTTCACTTGGACCAAGTGCAGGTGCTTTGTATGACATGAAGAGCTAGAGGTGCTTGTGAGTCTGCAGCACTATGACCTGATCGGCATCTCAGAGACATGGTGGAACGACTCCTGCGATTGGTGTGTTGGACTAGAGGAGTATAAACTGTTCAGGAAGGACAGGCAGGGGAAACGAGGAGAAGGTATTGCCCTCTATGTCAGTAAAAGGCTAGAATGCCTGGCAAGTGATGACGAAAGAACCGAGTGCCTGTGGACCAGGGTGAAAGGAAGGGGAGGAGACTTTACAGTGGGGCGTGCTACAGACAACCCAACCAGGAGGATCAAGTGGATGAGGCCCTTCATAAGCAGATAGGAGTTGCTGCTCATTCACAAGCCATGGTCATCATGGGGCATTTTAATCACCCTGACATCGACTGGAAGAA